TGCCGCAACGGAGCCTTCAAGACCCCGATCGGCACAGCCTCCAGCTCCGCAGAATAATTTCGAACACGATGAGGGCCAAAAGAAAGGTACCCTTGGTATACCCTCGTTAAACCCTTGTTAAACCCTTGTTATATCCTTATTATACCCTTAGCATACCCTCATTAAACCCTGAAATTACCTCTATGATACCCTTGTTATACCCTTGTTATACCCTTGTTATACCCTTATTATTACCCTTATCATGCCCTTATCATACCCTTATTACACCCTTATCATACCCTTTTTACACCCTTATTATACCCTTACTGTAATATGGCTACTGGGCTGCCAAGTTTAGGTTACTTCAGAAACCTACGAGGTCTCTTTCATGGAAACAGGCACCAGAAATCCCAGACCCCTAAACCCTAAACCCTAAACCCTAAACCCTAAACCCTAAACCCTAAGCCCTAAGCCCTAAACCCTAAACCCTAAACCCTAAACCCTCAACCCTAAACCCTAAACCCTCAACCCTAAACCCTAAACCCTAAACCCTAAAGCCTCGACTGTAAGCCCTGCACCGTGTCTACCTGAGGCCTTCTGCTCAAATGGACCATCAGCCCCTAAACCCCAGCCTTCTAGGGTTTCGGGTTTAGGGTTTAGGGTGTTTAGGGTCAAGGGTTAAGGGTTTGGGGTTTAGGGTCTAGGGGTTTAGGGGTTTAGGGGTTTAGGGGTTTAGGGGTTTAGGGGTTTAGGGGTTTAGGGGTTTAGGGGTTTAGGGGTTTAGGGGTTTCCTCTGCAGTAGGTCCACGAGCGCTTTGTGTCGCCGAGGAACCGCCAGACTTTAAAGGCTTCACGCAGGAAGTGGTGCGCGAGGACTCGCTCCCTACGCCATTCTTGGACATGTAGAGACTAAACCCTTATATAACCCTAAACCCTAAACCTTAAACCACATATGTAACATATATATATATATATATATATACATATACACACAGGTATGTCTTGATTTTCTTATACACACACGCAGCCCGAAGTGCCCCAAACCCTAAACCCACATACCATGTAGGGTAGTTGCATGGTCCCTATGGAAAAGGGGCCCTTTTCTACCCCTTAAAAACCCTACAATTCAAACCTAAGGACCCATACTTCAGAACCCTAAAGAGGGTAAGGGGCCGTATGAAGGGAGCCCGACCCCAAACCCCAAACCCCAAACCCCAAACCCCAAACCCCAAACCCCAAACCCCAAACCCCAAACCCCAAACCCCAAACCCTAAACCCTAAACCCTAAACCCCAAACCCTAAACCCTAAATCCTAAACCCCATATCAAGCCCTTAGAGAGGGGACAGGCCTGGTCTCCAAAGTATGGTCCGTGTCGGGGAAGCTGATTCTATTACGCCCTGAGGGTTCAGGGTTCAGGGTTCAGGGTTCAGGGTTCAGGGTTCAGGGTTCAGGGTTCAGGGTTCAGGGTTTAGGGTTTAGGGTTTAGGGTTTAGGGTTTAGGGTTTAGGGTTTAAGGTTTAGGGTGCCGAAAAAGGTCTGAGGACTGAACACCTTGTGCCGGTATAAGGCTGAGGCGGCCCCCTCTTCGTACGTTTTTTGAGAGACACCCTTAAACCCTAAACCCTGAACCCTAAACCCTAAACCCTAAACCCTAAACCCTAAAAAACCCTAAACCCTAAACCCTAAACCCCAAACCCTAAACCCTCAACTTGGGATGTTCCCCCTGATACTAAGAGTCCGAAAAAACGAACTAGAGTGATTATAGAACCCCCTACTATAATCTCTGTATCAAGGACTGTTGGTATAAGGGGGAGCATCGCAACCCTAAACCCATTTGTGTCTTTTTTGTGGGCCGGCGGGCCGAAACCCTTGCAAGTCCCAAAGCCTCATTAACCCTGAGACCTGAACCCTGCTAAGGGTTGTTTGCGATTGCGGACAGCAGCTGATAATTGGCCTTGAATGGTTGAGGCCCCAAAAACTCTAAACCCTAAGCCCCAAAAACTCTCTCCAGCCTAAGGTCGTAAGGCCCAACATCCCCCCTCCCAATCCGCTGCGTTCTCGTTTGCGTAGGTGAAACATAATGACTGGGTTTAGGGCTGAAGGTTGAGGGTTTAGGGGGGTGGAGGTCTGATAACGTTCAACCACCTGGTTTCAGGTTTCTTCTTGTGTAAGGTTTCGGGTTTCACGCCAAGTAACTCTAAACCCTAAACGCAAAATACCATTCAAGAGTGGCTTGACAAGTATGACCCTACTTGAAGGTTCATAGGTATTCACAGTTACCCTTCCTCATAACCCTGCTCATAAGCACCCATGAAACTCCGAAAGTAAGGGGACCAACCCTAAACCCTAAACCCAAAACCCACAACCCTAAACCCTAAACCCTAAGTCCTAAGCAGACAGGCTACGGCCAGCGGGGCACTCCAACAGAGTCGACTCGGACGAAGCTGAGCACGGCGGGAGCAGGTAGCCAGATGTTTAGGGTTGAGCCCTGTCAGGGTTTAGGGTTTAGAGTTTGATGTTTAGGGTTTAGGGTCAAGGGGGAAGTTCAGCAGTTTAGCATTTGGACTCTTGTTTTGGGAACCGTCTTGCTTCCGCGCTGAGAATGTGCCTTCGTGTCTTTTGCCAAGTTGAGAACTCCTGTGTCCAATTTCTTTTTCCTGCGCATGCCTTACTTACCACGATGCCTGCCTGCAGTCCATGCAAATTGCCCTTCAACGCACAGGTTCTCCGCGCGAACGCGTCTTCTCACACCAGGGCCCCACCCCCGCCCGCACGTTGCGCCTTTTGCTTTCTGTGCCGTCCCAAGAGATTTTTCGAGAGAGTAGCCTGCTCCATCTGTTCTCAAGTCTCAAGTCCTGCGTTGCCTGTTGAACTTCTTCCGCACATTGCCCGTGCCCTTTCAAGGCAGGCATGCTTGCCTTTCTCTAAAGCTTCATGGCATCGTCTTTGTGCTCGTCCCCAATATGGCTTCCCACGGTGTCTGAAGCCAGGTTGCCTCCTCTAGTTGTGTGGTAACCAGTTTGCTTGCCCAACGAAGCGCGACCACTGCCGCTTCAAACGTGTGTCAGAACCTTTGGCGTGAACGAACTTCCTCTTCAAGCTTTTCCTTGCCCCGCAAAACCCTGCACAAAAGCTGCCAACTTAAGTGCGAAACATGCGTACACTCACCAACAACTCACCTGTCACGGCCCAGTTGCGATTCTTGGATTAGGCATCAGCTGGACATCTGCTTCCACAGACGCAAGAGTAGCGCAACCCAAGGGCAGAGACGTGATGCTTGTGCTAATTATCCTAGGCCTTGAGACTCTTCAGGCTGGTCTGGGTGGTTGACGTCTGGGGGTTAGTTAGGGCTTTGGGTTCGAGGGCAAAAAGGCCCTCTGACCGTGTTTCACCTCTTGTTCGCCTCGTGCCCGGAGCGCCACCACGAAAGGATCGACGAAAGGGTGCTGCAGCTGGGTGTCGTGGTGTGTTGGGTTCAGGATCTCGGGTCTGCTAGCTCAGTTGGCATCCCTCATTCGTACAAACCCTCAACCCTAAACCTTTGGGTTTTAGGGAGAAGGGCTCATGGCTGCACAGGGGTGAGGGTTCTTGGAGAGGATCCAAAACCTAAGGGTAGGTAATTAAATCGTCCCTTAATCGTCTCTTACCTTCTTGAAAGGGTTCGGGAGTATGGGCCCTTGGGTTTTATAGGGTGTATGTAGAAGGGTATATAAGGTGTCCCCAATTAATACAAGGGAGCCATACTAAGGAACCGTAGCTACCCTAAGACAACGTCTAAGGCCTAGGCTGAGACAAAAATCCAAGGCCCTGCAGGCTTCAGAAGATGCAGAGGGTCAGATGCAGCCCCGCTTTGCAGCCATCTTGGCCAAAGCAACGCCACGCGAACTGCCCGCCCTCAGTGGCAGACTCCAAGCAGGTTCTGTTACACAGTTGCCGAGTCTACGTGTGTCAGAACCTTTGGCGTGAACGAACTTCCTCTTCAAGCTTTTCCTTGCCCCGCAAAACCCTGCACAAAAGCTGCCAACTTAAGTGCGAAACATGCGTACACTCACCAACAACTCACCTGTCACGGCCCAGTTGCGATTCTTGGATTAGGCATCAGCTGGACATCTGCTTCCACAGACGCAAGAGTAGCGCAACCCAAGGGCAGAGACGTGATGCTTGTGCTAATTATCCTAGGCCTTGAGACTCTTCAGGCTGGTCTGGGTGGTTGACGTCTGGGGGTTAGTTAGGGCTTTGGGTTCGAGGGCAAAAAGGCCCTCTGACCGTGTTTCACCTCTTGTTCGCCTCGTGCCCGGAGCGCCACCACGAAAGGATCGACGAAAGGGTGCTGCAGCTGGGTGTCGTGGTGTGTTGGGTTCAGGATCTCGGGTCTGCTAGCTCAGTTGGCATCCCTCATTCGTACAAACCCTCAACCCTAAACCTTTGGGTTTTAGGGAGAAGGGCTCATGGCTGCACAGGGGTGAGGGTTCTTGGAGAGGATCCAAAACCTAAGGGTAGGTAATTAAATCGTCCCTTAATCGTCTCTTACCTTCTTGAAAGGGTTCGGGAGTATGGGCCCTTGGGTTTTATAGGGTGTATGTAGAAGGGTATATAAGGTGTCCCCAATTAATACAAGGGAGCCATACTAAGGAACCGTAGCTACCCTAAGACAACGTCTAAGGCCTAGGCTGAGACAAAAATCCAAGGCCCTGCAGGCTTCAGAAGATGCAGAGGGTCAGATGCAGCCCCGCTTTGCAGCCATCTTGGCCAAAGCAACGCCACGCGAACTGCCCGCCCTCAGTGGCAGACTCCAAGCAGGTTCTGTTACACAGTTGCCGAGTCTAGTAGCTCGTGGTGTTCCCTGTCCCTAGAACTTCTTCAGCCCCAAACCCTGAACACCAAACCCTCAACCATGAACCCTAAACTCTTAAAGGCCAAGCCCGCCCCTGATACCTAAAGCCCTAAGCCCCAAACCCCAAGCCCCAACGATCATGCCATGGCGCCTTCCATGGATTGCTAACGCTTCTACTCGCCTCCGATGGCGTTGGGCGCCGAGATGTCTTTCTGCCCTAAGCCCCGAACCCCAGGCCCCACATTGCCTACACCCCCAGAACCCTGCACCCTGAGCCCTACAACCTGTGCCCTAAACCCTAAACCCTAAACCCTAAACCCTAAACCCTAAACCCTAAACCCTAAATCCTAAACCCTAAACCCAGAATCCTAAACTCTAAACCCAGAATCGTAAACTCTAAACCCAGAATCCTAAACTGTACATCATAAACCCTAAACCCCACACCCACTCACAATGCCGACAACCAGGCCAAACAAGAACGGCAGCGTGCGGAGTCGCAGTCCGAAGAACAAAGGCCGGGGCTTGAGTAGGGTGTAGGGCTTAGCTTTGTGGTTCTTTACTGTACGTAACTTTAGATCCTTAGCCTTTTTGGGCTTGTTGGGTTTCTTAATAAGGCAGCTAAAAACTTAATTTATAGCTGCCCTCCTAAGTGCAGCCAAGTTAGGGTTGAGGGTTGAGGGTTTAGGGATGAGGGATGCAGGATGAAAGTACAGAATGAAGAATCCGGGCGTCGGAGCTTTTTGACATATCTTGCTCCCGATAGCACATCGCCGACGCCTCCTCCTTGTAGAATCGTCACGGGGTTCTTACCCTAAACCCTTGGCCCCAGTTGTTGATACACCGCTTGCAAAAGTGGACACTAAACAAAGTTTAGTCAGGCGTAGCCATGGTATACTTTCGCGGATGGATTGCTACTAGTGCGCATCTATTCACTGGAGCAGGGTTTAGTCGGGGATAGGATGAGGGGGACCCTTGAGGATATAGACCCTCTGAATAAGGCCCCTGTCTAAGAGAGGTAGAAGAGGGTTAAGAAGGGTTCCCTTTTGAGGGTCTCACTTATCCTACCTAGGATTTGGGGTTTGGGGTTTGGGGTTCGGGGTTCGGGGTTCGGGGTTCGGGCGTCGGTGCTGGTTTCTCAGCGCTGCGACACGACAAAGCCGGGCTTGATCCTAAACCCTAAACCCTAAACCCTAAACTCACGTTGGGGGGCGGCGCTTAAGCCCTGACCCCCTTCTGGCCCTTGGCAAATGGGGGCCGGGGCAGGGGCAGGGAGCCAGGCGGCAGGCTGCCTGTGCTGCCACCCTGTCTGGCCTGGCAGCCTGTCACGGCGGCTTCGGGGCCTCTATCTTACCTTCGAGACCACAACTTGACTCTCGGATTCAACCAACATCAAAGTTTTGAAAAGTGGACTGTTGTCTGAGTGTAGGCCTAAACCCTAAAAGGAATAGGTTTGGGTGGCTTTGCCGCCTTGGACGGCGTGGGGAAGCTTTCGAGCTCGCTCGAAACCTAACCTTCACAGCATCTACGCCCTATCACAGCAAACCCTAAACCCTAAACCCTAAACCCTAAACCCTAAACCCTAAACCCTAAACCCTAAACCCGAAGCCGAAAAAACCCTAAACCCTACACCCTACACCGTACACCCTACACCCTAAACCCTAAACCCTAAACCTTAAGCCCTCAACTGCCCGATAGACTTTTAGGCTTGAGGGGCCTTTGAGCAGAGGCCTTCAGCGAATCGATGCATCTCCCGGAGATGTCAACTGGTCTGGGCACTCAGCTTTGAAAATCGAGGACACATCCACTGGGCTTAGGGTTTAGGGTTTAGGTTTCGGGTTTAGGGCCCAGGGTTTAGGATTCATTCCTAGGGGATTCTGGGCGTCCTTCTCCGCGCGTGTTTTTAAGGGCATTCTTCATGGTGTCCGGCTTCAAAAGAGATTGCATAACTAGACGATCTCCTTATGCACCGATACTGTTTACTTCTATGTAGATGATAGATGTATTTATGTCTGTACTCTCTCTCTCTCTCCCTCCCTCAAAAAAACTACATATATATATATATGCGCACTCATTCCTTGCTTACCCAGATATATTCCAATCTTTATATGTGTGTATGCCTTGGGGGCTGACTGAAATCCCTAAGCCCTCAGAAGCTTCCATGCCCTTGACAGCCCCTAAGCCCAAAAAACCCAAATCCCCACAACGACAGGGAGGCCGGCGATGAGTTCAGGGCGTTGGGCTTTTCAGGATGCTCAGGGTTGAGGCTGTGTCATGAAGATGAAGGTGACATACGCCCGCCCTAAAGTCCACCGATTCATAGATAACTAGAACGAGAATGAAGACATAACCAGGTGCGCTGCAAAGATATCATAATATCATATAAATATGCAGATACCAATGAAAGTAAATAGCTACCGTATGGTCCCCCCCCCACTCCTCGTGCCCCCACCCCCACCCTCCCCTCCCACCCACCCCTTCACAGCCCACAGCCCAAACCCCAAACCCCAAACCCCAAACCCCAAACCCCCAACCCCCAAACCCCAAACCCCAAACCCCAAACCCCAAACCCCAAACCCCAATCCCCTATAAACCATAAACCCTAAACCCTGAACCCCAAGCCCTACACCCTAGACCCTAAGCCCAAGCCCTACATCCCAAACTCCATGCCCTAAACCCTAACCCTACACCCCGGGCCCCAAAACCCAAACCCTAAACCCCCAAGGCTCACCGGAGCTCCGTACTCAAAGCGCTTCTTCGACATCCTCAAGGCTCGAGTTCGACTTTGGCTCAGGTCTTTTCTGTTGTGCAGGTTAGGGTTTAGGGGTTAGGGGTTTAGGGTTTAAGGGTTTAGGGGTTTAGGGGTTTAGGGTTTAGGGTTTAGGGTTTAGGGTTCAGGGTTCAGGGTTTATTGGCTTGAAGGTTCACGATTTGGGGTTTAGGCTTTGTTGGGTTTAAGGGTTTTGGGTCGGGTTTAAGTAAGGGTTTAGGGGATTATGGAGCCATAAATGTCTGCACCTGCACCCCCCCCCCCCCCCCCCCCCCCCCCCCCCCCCCCCCAAGCGCGCTTAAGCCCTTGAACCCTACACCCAAAACTCTTAAATCCTAAGCTCTACACCCTAAACTTTCAACCCGCCTGCAGGCACGCAGGAAGCTGCCTTGCCAGGGGGCCCAAGTCTCGCCAGCTGACGGTTTTAGGGTTTCGGGGTCAGGGTTTGGGTTTCGGGTTTAGGGTTTAGGGTTTAGGGTTTAGGGTTTAGGGTTTAGGGTTTAGGGTTTAGGGTTTAGGGTTTAGGGTTAGGGTTTAGGGTTTCGGGTTTCGGGTTTAGGGTTTCGGGTGCAGAGTACATCACCTCCGAAGGTTTCTCCTCAAGGTCCTCGGCAGTTGGTCCCGGGAGGCACCCTGAAGCCTAAGATTTTCCAGCTCCCAAGACCCCTAAGCCGCTTCGACTCAAGACCCTAAGCCCTGAGCCCTAAACCCTAAACCCTAAACCCTAAACTCTAAACCCTAAACCCTAAACCCTAAACCCTAAACCCTAAACCCAAAACCCAACATCCCCAAATCCCTAGAATCTAAACCCCCCCCGAAGCCCAGGAATTCCCAAAGCCCTAGAATCCCAAAGCCCTAAATGCCCCAAGAGCCCCAAAACGCCATAAAGCCCTAAAACCCTGAAGCCCACAACTCCCCAAAAGCCCTAAAACGCCTTCTGGCCTGGGCCTCAGCCTTACTAAATTATCTCGAAAGCCCGAAAATCCCAAAGCCCCAAAAGGCCCTAAATCATAAACCCTGAACTCTTACCCCGCAACCCTAAATACCCCAAAAGCCCAAAAATCCCAAAGCCCCAAAACGCCCTAAAGCCCCAAAATGCCCTCAAGCCTAACCCTAAACCCTAGAAGACCCTAAGCCCTAAGCCCTAAACCCTAAACCCTAAACACTAAACCCTAAACCCTAAAGCCTAAGGCTCCAACCCGAAATCCAGGTTGGGAGAAGAGGGAGGATGCCGTAAACATGGCTCCTTGGCTGAAGAATAGTAGGCCCTACAGGCCAAAAGGTTTAGGGTTTAGGGTTTAGGGTCTAGGGTTTAGGGTTTAGGGTTTAGGGTTAGGGTTTAGGGTTTAGGGTTTAGGGTTTAGGGTTTAGGGTTTAGGGTTTAGGGTTTAGGGTTTAGGGTTTAGGGTTTAGGGTTTCGGGTTTAGGGATGTAGAGTCATGGAAGGCGTCTTTCTGGGTGTGGCTGCTCTTTATAGGGCTTCGGGTGTAGGGTTTCGGGTTGTATGCAATGAATGCCCCAAGATCCCAAAAGCCGAACACCCCTAATTGCCTCCCGAACCCTAAACCCTAAACCCTGCACCCTGCACCCTGCACCCTAAACCCTAAACCCTAAACCCTAAACCCTAAACCCTAAACCCTAAACCCTAAACCCTAAACCCTAAACCCTAAACCCTAAACCCTAAACCCTTAACCCTTAACCCTTAACCCTTAACCCTTAACCCTTAACCCTTAACCCTTAACCCTTAACCCTTAAACCCGAACCCTTAACCCTTAACCCTAAACCCATCCGTTAAGCCCAGGTTCGGAACAATCAGAGCTCCGTCCTCATCGGAGAGACGGGCAGCGGGAAGACTACACAGGCTTCCATTTCACCAGACTCGGATTCAGGGCCGCGAGTTTAGGGTTCAGGGTTCAGGGTTTGGGGTTTAGGGTTTAAGGGTTTAAGGGCCGGGGGGGCTTCAGGGGTTTTAGGGGGTTCAGGTGCTTTAGGTCCTGAAGCCCTAAAGTTTAGGAGGCTTCAAAGGGTTTAGGGGGGTTGAGGGTTTGGGGCGTGCCTTTTTGAAATCGTGGGTTCGGGCTTCTCAAGATCTAAGTCCAACAGCCCCAACCTGACATTGTTTTGGAGGGCTTGGGATTGGGCCTTCCGAGCCCGCAACTTCCCTATATGAGCCCTAAACCCTAAACCCTAAACTCTAAACCCTAAACCCTCAACCCCATGAGCTGCAGGCTAGGGCGTTCTGAGGGGGATCGGCCCTGCGCCCTAAACCCCACAGCCAGCACCCTCAAGCCTTGTGAAGGAACAAGCATCAGGAGCATGGGTTTAAGGTGCACATGAGTTTTGCGGTTTAGGGTTTAGGGTTTGTAGGGTTCATAGGGTTTATAGGTTTATAGGGTTTATAGGGTTTATATGCGCCAGCATAGGCGCACCTCCCCCCCCCCCCTCCCCCTCTCCCCCCCCTGGCCCTCCCCCCCTCCCCCGCTGTGGTTCATGGTGGGTTTTGGGGTCCCCCCCCCCCCCCCCCCCCCCCCTGTGGTTCATGGTCCGTGGTTCATGGGTTTGTGGTTTAGCGGTTTAGGGTTAGGCTGTAGAGTTCAGGATTTTCACTCTGGTCCATTGGTTCATTGTGGGTTTAGAGTTTAATCAGGGTTCAAGGTTTGGGGTAGGTAGATTTACGGTTTCCCCTCTCCCCTCTGTGGTTCGTGCTGAGTTTACGCTTCAGGGTTCAGGGTTAAAGCGGCTAAGGTTTCGGGTTTACCCTTCTCCCTCCTGTCGTTCATTGGTGGGTTTAGGTTTTAGGGCTTGGGGTTCAGGGTGTGGGGTTTAGGCTGAGGTTTCTCTGTCCTCCCCCGTGGTCCGTGGTGTTTTTAGGCAGGGTTTGGGGGGGGGGGATGCCGTGGGGGGGGGGGATACCATGGGGGGGGGGGGGGTCGATTACGCGGAACGCGGGCGCATATAGGGTTTCTAGGGTTTATAGGGTTTAGGGTTGAGGGTTTAGGGTTTAGAGGGTTTCGGGCAGGTCCCTCAGTTCCTGCTTTCTTCCGGTGGCGAGCTTGGCTCCGGAAAGATCGTGGGGACCTGAGATTCCTACTTTAACTTACAGGCTTAGGGGCGTACCCCCCCCCCCCCCCCCCCCGGGAAAAAAGCAAAAGAAAACAAAAAAATAAACCTAAACCCTCAAACCCTACAACCCTCAACCTTAAACGCCGCAAGCCCTCAAACCCTAAAACCCCAAAACCCTCAAATCCTGAAACCCTCAAACCCTCAAACCCTGAAACCCTAAAGCCCTAAACATGTGCTTTTCTTCATCGGCGGTCATGGGTCCCTGCCAACAGAAATTTAGGGCTTCATGGTTGCTCAGAGGAATCTCAGGCCCCGGGAAAATGCGGTGCGGCAACGTGCATACAGCTCGAATCATCCTTCAACCATGTTTCAACTTTCGGGAGTTTACTGTTGGGGGAAACAGGTTTGCACCCAGGGTTACAAAAAGGGACTTAAAGGGGTTTAGGGTTTAGGGTTTAGGGTTTAGGGTTTAGGGTTTAGGGTTTAGGGAGTTTATAGATGGTCCACTATCTAAAGAACTGAAGGACGCCGGGAATTGTCCGGGGTTCAATCGCTTAGGGTTCAGTCGTTCAGGGTTTAGGGTTTAGGGTTTAGGGTTTAGGGTTTAGGGTTTGGGTTTAGGGTTTAGGTTTAGGGTTTAGGCAACCCGCACTCTGGCCAGTGAAGCAGGCAAAGGCCGAGACTTTGAACCCTACATCCTAACTCCTAAACTGCTTCCCGACTGACCCTGGGGTCTATCTCATTACCCGAAACCCTGTATAAGAGGTTCCCCCCCAAAAGCCCTGCCTAAACCCCGGGGTCTGTCTAAGTCAATCTCCTAGGCAGTGACCCAACCTCGACGTGTGGCAGCGATGAGCGGGCGGCCTCAGTGGTTGGTTGAGGAAGCCTACATCCGAAAGCCTAAGCCCGAAAGCCCTACACCTAACAGCCCTGAACCCTCGAACCCCAAAACCCTAAAACCCCAAAAACCCGAAACTCTAAAACACCCTAAAACCCTACAACCCTAAAACCCCCCAAAAACCCTCAAATCCAAAAAACCCAAAACCCTAAACCCTAAACTCCAACACCCTAAAACCCTGGATCCCTTTGAATCCGCAGGCTCATGGTACTAGCTCAGGGGTTTGGGTTTCTATGTTCAGGCCCAAAACCCTAAACCCTAAACCCGAGACCCTAAACCCTAAACTCGAAACCCTAAACCGTTCAGGCTTGCCGAGTTTTGTCCTGAGGGTGTTTGGGTTTTGTGGCTTTCTATCTAAGGGCAGTTTCAAGGGCCTCAATATGGTCCCTTGCCTTCTTTAAGGGGTTCAAGAATTATGGGCCCTTGGGTTGCATAGGGTATGTAAGGGGTACATAAGGGGCCCCCTTCTACGGGCCCTTACTAAGGGACCATGAAACTACCCTAAGACTCAAGTCAATGGGACTCTACCCCGAACCCCTAAACCCTAAACCCTAAACCCTAAACCCTAAACCCTAAACCCTAAACCCTAAACCCTAAACCCTAAACCCTAAACCCTAAACCCTAAACCCTAAACCCTAAACCCTAAACCCTAAACCCCCCGAACCCTTAAGTTTGACCCCTTGGGTTCGGGGGCTGGCAGGGTTTAGGGTTTTGGCGTTCGGGGTTTTGGGGTTTAGGGTTTTAGGGTTTAGGGTTTTAGGTTTTTGGGGACCCCTTAAGGGAATACAAGAGTCATGCTAGGGGTATATGTCGGGACTTGTTTTGGGGGTACAACCTTAGGGGTAGCAGTTTAATATCTCGACGAGGGGTAGTTGCATGGCCCCTCAATATGGTACCTTACCTACTTTACATGAGTTCTGAAGTACGGGCCCTGGGGAGTTGTAGGGTAGATAAAGGGGTCTACAAGGAGTCCCCAATTAAGGGCTCATATGAAGGGGATTCTGTAACAGCTGCAAATAACGTGTACACCGCACAGAGACGCTTCCCCACTGCTGCCTTAGGTGTTGCTGCCCGAGTGGCGCAGGACGACTCACCCACGGAGTTGCTGTCTATGCCTCCATGCCCTAATTACATGACCCGTTTTGGGTTTAGGGTTTAGGGTTTCGGGTTTAGGCTTTAGGGTTTAGGGTTGACCCTACACCCTACTTACTGTTGGTTAGTACGGAATGAAGGAATGAGGTACCCTTTAAAATCCCTTAAAGGGTCTATACGGGGGGATGTGGGGTACCTCATTCCCTCATTCCCTACTAACCAACAGTAAGCCTAAGCCCCACACCGTGTATATAGGGCCTGGGGATATGTTCAAGTTGTCCCTAATGGGGCTCTCACAGAATACCCTAAACCCTAAACCCTAAACCCTAAACCCTAAACCCTCAAGCCTAAACCGCAACGGGAGGAGATGGACGTCGAACTAGGGCAGGAGGTTGGGCGCCGACCTCGAGGGGGGGGGGGGGGTCCAGGCTTCGGACATGATGAGTTGAAAAGGGGCTCAGGGACCCTAAGCTAGGGTTTGGGGTTTGGGGTTTGGGGTTTGGGGCTTGGGGCCTGGGGCTTGGGGTTTAGGGTTTAGGGTTTAGGGTTTAGGGCTTAGGGTATCGGGTTTAAGGTTTAGGGTTTAGGACGTCTCGGCAGCCCAGTGGTACCCTGTTGCCGCTTCTTGGTTCTAGGTTCCCATTTACAGTACCCCCAACTTGGGGAACCCATCACTATACTCTGGATGAGACTATTTTGGGGTAGATTCTTCGGGGGGTATATAACAGGGTTTGGCAGGTATCCCCCGGTTTGTGAGAAGTGCAGAGTTTTGAAGAAGGCTTTGGGGTTTAGGGTTGAAGGAGTCGTGGCTTGAGGGGTTCAGGTTTAGGTTTTGGGGTGCAGCGTTTGGGGTTTAAGATGTAGGGTCTCTTGGCTGTAGGGGTCATGGTCTACCCTAAACCCTAAACCCTAAGCCATAAATCCTAAACCCTAAACCCTAAGCCCTAAGCCCTAAGCCCTAAACCCTAAACCCTAAACCCTAAACCCTAAACCCTAAACCTTAAACCCTAAACCCTAAACCCTAAACCACCTATGACATCAGGGCCTTCCTCCTTTGCACACCACGCGTGGTAGGGTTGTGGGCTCGCTTGCCCCGCAGGATGGTTTAGGGCGGTTTGGGGTTTAGGGCCGTTTAGGGTTTAGGGTTTAGAGGTTAGGGTTTAGGGTTTAGGGGCGTATAGGCCATAAGGTTTATGGCTCACCTCAGACAAGGTTGATGGCTCACTAAAACGATTTCGAGGGCTTTGGACTCTCCGGGTTTAGCCTTGAAGTGGTCCCAGGTACAACATCCGCTTTGAGGACGTCACTTCTGAGAAGACGCGGCTCAAGTACATGACCGATGGAATGCTTCTGCGCGAGTGTCCGCCGCCGAGCCCGGGTTCAGGGTTCAGGGTTCAGGGCTCAGGGCTCAGGGCTCAGGGCTTAGGGTTTAGGGTTTAGGGTTTAGAGTTTAGGGTTTAGGGTTGAGGCTTAGGGGACTGCAGTGGTCTTGGCCGAAGGGAATCTAAGCTTCGAGTTTCGGGTTCTGCTCACCTCAAACCCCAAACTCATACGTGGGGCAGACTGAGCCCTAAGCCCTGTAGACCTAAGCCCTAAGCCCTAAGCCCAAGACCCTAAACCCTAAACCCTTTAACCCTTTAACCCTTCAACCCTTTTAACCCTTTAACCCTTTAACTCTTTAACCCTTTAACCCTTTAAGCCTTTGACCCTTTGACCTCTTGACCCTTTAACCCTTTGACCCTTTAACCCTTTAACCCTTTAACCCTAAACCCTAAACCCTAAACCCTAAGCCCTAAGCCCTAAGCCCTAAAACCTAAACCCTAAACCCTAAACCCTAAACCCTAAACCCTGAACCCTAAACCCTAAAATTGAATTTGCTCCCGGTAAGTCTATGTTTCGATGCCCGGTGGCAGTCTGCCCTTCTTTCTGTCCTCAGGGTGAGGGAGCCCAGTAAGCTTAGGGTTTAGCATGTATTCAGGGTTTAGGGTTTAGGGTTTAGGGTTTGGGGTTTAGGGTTTAGGGTTTAGGGCAAGAGGGAACATGCCTAAAGCTTCAAGCAGGTCAGACAGACCCTCTCATGAGCCAGTATTCCGTCATCATCCTCGATGAGGTGCGCCGTTCTTGGCCTTCGGGGGCTTAGCGTAGAGGATATATATATATATATACATTTATTTATGTATTTATTTATTCATATTTATATTTACATTTTCATGTCTATTTCTATTTCGATTTCTATGCAGAGAGAGAGAGAGAGAGAGAAAAGTTTTTTTCAGGTTTATGGCGAATTTGTCTAACCTTCTCAACCCCTTCACCAAACCGCGAGAGTCGCCGTGCAGGCCCACGAGAGGACGCTGGCAACGGACATTCTCTTCGGCCTCTTGAAGGAGGCGACGGGGTTTGGACTCAAACTCCAGATTCCCTAAACCCTAAACCCTGAATCCTAAACTAAACCAACCCTAAACCCTAAACCCTAAACCCTAAACCCTAAACCCTAAACCCTAAACCCTAAACCCTAAACCCTAAACCCTAAGCCCTAAGCCCTAAGCCCTAAACCCCAAACCCGAAACCCTAAATCCTACACCCTAAACCCTAAACCCTAAACCCTAAGGTCCCCTAACATGGGCCAGTACCTTCCTTGCAGGGTTGTGAAGCATGTGCCCTTGGGGTGTGTAGGGTATATGAAGGGTATAGAAGGGCTCCTAACGTAAGGGCCCCGTACTGAAGGCCCATACGTCTTTCACCTTCTTACGTCTCTTGGCTGCCGCAAAGTCCTGCGTCTGGTACCTATATATTCAAGAAGCATGTATATATATATACATACACAAATATACGTACAGTATATGACCATGAACCCTATATGCCCAAGCATCCCTCTACCAACCTGCGTACTAGAGATGACCCAGTCTGAGGACACAAGTGGCGTCAGCCATATCGCATCTGTAACCCCTGAATCCCCAAACCCTCAACCCCGGTCCGACTCTGTCTGTCTCTCTGCATTTAGGATCCTCCTGAGAACCTTTAGGCGTCCTTCTTGAAATCAAGCCCCGAGCCCTCGTTCCTAAACCCTACACCCTAAACCCCCAGCAACCATGGAGAAAATGCGGAAAGCACAACTCCAAACCCGAAATAGAAATTTCCAGCCCCCCCCCCCCCTCCCCCTCCTACCTCCCCCAAAAGCCAAGAACGCAAACCTCCATCCCCTTGAAACCCCTGAAGCCTAAACCCTCAACCCTAAACCCTAGACCCTAAACCCTAAACCGGAAACCCGAAACCCTACACCCTAAACCCTAAACCCTATAGCCCTAAACCCTATAACCCTAAACCCTGTACCTGTGCAGGTGCTCGTGAAGCGGCGCCTTGGCTCTGCTCTGGCGTGGTTAGGATAGGGTTCTGAGCAGTTCTATCGGTCCCTAAGCCCTAAACGCTAAACCCTATAGCCCTAAACCCTAAACCCTAAACCCTAAACCCTAAACCCTAAGCCCTAAGCCCTAAACCCTAAACCCTAAACCCTAAACCCTAAACCCTAAACCCTAAACCCTTAACCCTAAACCCTAAACCCTAAACCCTAAACCCTAAACCCTAAACCCTAAACCCTAAACCCTAAACCCTAAACCCTAAACCCTAAACCCTAAACCCTAAACCCTAAACCCTAAACCCTAAACCCTAAACCCTGTCCCTGAACCCTAAGCCCTAAGCCCTAAGCCCTAAGCCCTCAGCCCTAAGCCCTAAGCCCTAAGCCCTAAGCCCTAAGCCCTAAGCCCTAAGCCCTAAGCCCTAAGCCCTAAGCCCTCTAAGCCCTCTAAGCCCTCTAAGCCCTCTAAGCCCTAAGCCCTAAGCCCTAAACCCTAAACCCTAAGCCCTAAACCCTAGACCCTAAACCTTTACATAACCCCTGAACCCTTACATAGCCCCTAAACGTTTTGCGCCGGCGGGCCCCGCCAACCCTGCGCCGTAAAGCGCGATTCCGAAAGCGAAGCCTCCGCACACTAGGGCATCTAAGCCTTGGACCCAGAGTAGGCCCTTGCATTTTCCTGTGCAGCAAAATGGGCACCCTTTTCGTTCCTAGGTTGCTCTTGGGTCTAGAAGCCCTTGCGCACTTGAGCTTTGGAGTTGCCGGACCCGAAGCCCGAAGCCCTAAACCCTAAGCCCTAAGCTCTCAACCCTCAACCCTAAACCCTCAACCCACAACCCTAAACCCTAAACAAGGCTCATGTTGCAAGCTCTCTTGGGTTTCGGGGCCCCGAATCCAGAATGTTTTGATCTATGGGGTTCAGGGTTTAGGGTTTAGGGTTGAGGGTTTAGGGTTTAGGGTTTGAACTCTAAACTCCATAGATGCCACACACAAAGAAAGGCCTAAACCCTCACGCCTAAACCCTTTTCAAAGCCGATGTGGTTTCACCAGTGGGTTTAGGGTTTAGGTTTGGGTTTGGGCTGCAGATGTTCAGGGTGTAGGGGATTTCGGGTGTAGGCGGAAGAAGAAGAAGCCACGCATGCGAGCAAGATGGCCACTCTTCCCCGATGCGTCGTCCAGTCTTGTCGCACATCGTTGGTCACCTTGGTCTTTGCTAAGACCCAAACGCTCGTTAAACCGCAAGCCCTGATGATGATCTGAGAACACACATGTCCTTCTTAAATAAAGCTTGAGGGCCAACTAAACCAAACCCTCACACCCTCATCAACAAACCCCAAAAGCCTCAACCTTGGCCGTAAACCCTGAACCCTAAACCCGAAACCCAAAACCCTAAACCCCCTAAACCCCCTCCATCTTGCGATGTGCCGGTAGGCCTGCTCTGCGATGTTTGGTCATGTGACGCCCGGCACGTTTGCCTTTACTTTTTGGGGGGTTTAGGGTTTAGGGTTTAGGGTTTAGGGTTTAGGGTCGCTGCGAAGGGTTGGGTTTCAGTTGGGTCCGGACTTCTGGGTTTGGGCTCAGGGCTTCGAGTCCACGGCGCAGAGAAAACTCTGTGTGGCATGGCTAGGGTACTGTGCCCAAGCACCCTAAACCCTAAACACTAAACCCTCAACCCCCAAAAACGCAGAAATAGAAATTGTAAATTTCATATCGAGCAGCTAGCGAAACTAATCGGAAAAGTTGAGTAAATTTCGCACAGAATATTTCAGTAAATTGGAGCAAGTAGGTTTCGCCATCTTTTGCTGTTGCCCCGCGCGTACAGGCCATAATACATCATAGATCGATACTTTTGTTTATATGTATACATAGATTTCGCTTTCCTGTCAACAAAGTCATGTCGATCAGACAGCAGCAGCGATCGAGGCAATTCAAACGCCAGCCGACGAAGACGAAACAGAGTGCCGAGCTCAGGAACGGGAGGGGGAGCCGGAGGAAGAACCACCCACGATCCTTGAGCGCGCCCCGGGAGCTCCACCTCTTCCATGCGGCTTTCGTCGTTTCCTCAGTGTAGAGTGCTACACTAACCCAATCCAACCGGAGCAAAGCTTCGCAATGTAACTAATTAACGCTTTCTTCAGTCTAAAGCAACTAATGAAGTTGTCTATGAGCTGGGTGGTTTTCCTGAACCTCGGCAACCAAACCCTGAGCCGGTGTTGTCTGCCACTTGGTTGCATTGACTTGCACTGACGTCGGATGTCAAATTTCAGTTCGTGCCAGGACGATGAGGTGGAGTCGTCAGACGAGAGTGAGGTCGAGTGGCCACCGGACTTTGTTTGATTGACGCAGCGGCGCTCGCATAAGGCGTTGTAAATTGTTCGCGAGTCATGCATGCTGCACGCATGTCTGATGTTGCTGCCCCAATTCTGCGCTAGTTCGCTTAGGATTTACCGCTGAGGGTATAGGGCTGGGAGTTCGAGGTGCCACCCACTGTGGTGTAGATTGGCTGCAGGGCTGCACAAAAAAGGGGCACGTGCGAGAACACTACAGCACAGCCGCGCAAGCCACAGAGTTCCAATCTGTTCTGCAAAGGAATAAGCGCGCAGGCACGGCAGCAGCCATATCAACGCTCGAGACTCGAGCCTTTTTATCCGGGAAGGCGAGAGACAATTTACTCTCAACAACACGACAATCAGGCTGACAATGCACATAGCAAGAACAATCTGTAGAAACAAGAAGCAGGCCGAGCCTGCCATGGATGCACCGGCAAAGCAACCTCCACAGCAAGCGCTGGTCGTAAAGCGTGAGTGCGTCGAGCGCATCTTCAAGAATGGCAAGACGTGGGAGCTACGTGGCGCAAACCTGCAGAAACGAGGAAGATGTTGCCATCGCCGCAAGCAAGACGAGCCACTTAACGGGAGAGGTGACCTTCGTGGAAGCTTTTCCCGTGCGGTCTCAGTTGAGAATTTTGAAGTTTAAAGGAAACAGCTGTCTGTATGGAAATGCTTCGGTCCAAGAATAGTAGCTACATGCGGTTGTAGCGGCCGAAGCTTTTTCTATACAGATGCCTGAACGAGGTCTCCAAGACGCCCTGTGAGAGGTTTTCGATGAGCCTGCTCACTTTAACAACTTCTTGTATTTTAATTCGTCTCGCCTTCAGGCAAGCCAGAAGAAGACCCGGCCTCAAAACCTGGCTGTCCCTGCCCTTTCCTTCAAGAAAAAGAGCTTTAACCATCGGCGGCCCAGGACCCTGCTAAAGCTTAAAACCCACAGAGCAAACACCAAAACGTTTCGGTCAAAACCTCCGGTCAAAGCTTTTGGTCAACACTTCCGGCCAAAACTTTCGGTCCAAATGTTTCGGTCCAAACGTTTTGGTCAAAACGTTCGGTCAAGCCGTTTCGCTCAAAGATTTTCGGTCAAAGCTTTCTGTCAAACTTTTTTGGGGCCCACACCCCATACAACTTCTAGAAGCCCTGAAGCAGCCCTAAACCCTAAACGGCCCTAAACCCTGAACCCTAAACGGTTCGTAGGCCGCATGGGCGGCTGACACACGGCAATTTAGGCCGAGGCATCCTAGACCCCAAGCCGTTAAGCCTGAACATTCCCTGAACCCTAAAACCTAAGTCCTAGCTACAGAGTAGCCTAAGCCAAGCCCTCAGCCCCAAACCCTAAACCCTACACCTTAAGCCCTAAACCCTAAGCCCTAAACCCCAAACCCAAACCCGAACAACCAGGAACCCCAAAGCCCAACGCTGCATGGAGCAGCCACGGATTCCGAAGCCCTCCAGCGGTCCAGCGATGTCCTTGGCAGGGAATTAGGAATTCGGTGCCCTGTAATTATGATCCCTCCAAGGGTTTAGGGTTTAGGGTGTTGGGTTTTTCGGGTTTCGGTAGGGTTTAGGGTATGCAAAAAATCACACACAAACATATATATATATATATACATATGTATATATATATATACACATACATGCAATATAGTGGATATAAAGTACCAGGTTCCCTGCTAAGATCCAGTAAGTCGCACAAGCACTACGTCATCCTGGCTAGTTACCCAAGGGGAAGCTGCGAGGGGGGGCCCGTCTGCCGGATCTCAAACAAACCCCAAACCCCGCGAACGGTTTAGGGTTTAGGGTTTAGGGTTTAGGGTTTAGGGTTTAGGGTTTAGGGTTTAGGGTTTAGGGTTTAGGGTTTAGGGTTTAGGGTTTGGGTCCAATGCATCCGCGCTTCTTGCCATGGTTTACCTTCGCGCAGGCCTGGGTGTGTTGGGCAGATGGGCCCTTGGTGGCTGAACTGGAAACCGCCACCTCCGCACCTCAGTGGCCCTCGCACGTGACGCACATGACGTGCAACCCGTTTCATGGCTTTCAGTACTTGGTCCTGGCCAACGGTGGTGGCATATCAGCAGGTTGCCGGACCAGTTGGAATCTCCATGAAGTGGAAGTCTACGACGCGGACGGGCGACAGCTGACTCTGTCGGTCACATGGGTAGCCCAGAGGTACCCTTTGTCCCTTTCTTGTGTTCAAGGTTCCCGTAACAAAGCAAATCAACCCCCAAGAAAGGTACCCTTATTGTAATTCAATTTGTTGTTTGGCTGCTGGGCTACCAAGGTCATCTCCCTAACAGGTTCGGACCAGAGGAACCCGAGCAGCTTGGCTGCTGATGGCTCCTTAGACACCTTCTGGGCAGGACGCGATGACACAGCCATCAGCTGCTTCCTGGGCTGCCTAAGAAAAATGGGTCTTTCCCAAAACACTTGTATACTCCCAAGAGACGAGAAGCCCCTTACAGGGTTTGACTATGTTTAATTAGGGTTTAGGGGTTTAGGGGTTTAGGGGTTTAGGGGTTTAGGGGTTTAGGGGTTTAGGGGTTTAGGGGTTTAGGGGTTTAGGGGTTTAGGGGTTTAGGGGTTTAGATGGTTGCCGCGAGGGGAAACTGATGCCCTGCTGGTTCAGGGTTCAGGGTTCAGGGCTTCGGGTTTAGGGTTTAGGGTTTAGGGCTCTCATGCAATCTCCTAAGGTGCTTGCTGGGACACATCCGCCATCGATGCCCAGGCCCTCTCCATCAACTTGGGGGCGACTGCTTCGGTGTCTCGCATAGTGGTGCACCAAGGTGGGGCGCGAGATTCAAGGAAAGCCGGGCTGGGGGTTTAGTCGAGGGCCGGCTCTTGGGTCTACAGGGTTTAGGGTTTGGGGTTTAGGGTTTAGGGTTTAGGGTTTAGGGTTTAGGGTTTAGGGTCCTCAACCCTCAACCCTCAACCCTCAACCCTCAACCCTCAACCCTCAACCCTCAACCCTCAACCCTCAACCCTCAACCCTCAACCCTCAACCCTCAACCCTCAACCCTAAACCCTAACGATCAAGGCGAACTCCCCCAAAGGAAGTCCCAAGGTGGTGCCAGCAGCGATGGATCAACCTCACATGCCCTCCAGCGGTTGAGGACGGGGTTTGGATGGGGTGGAGGGTGGAGATGCGTGGAGCTTGCGGCTTATGGTTTAGGTTTAGGGTTTGGGGTCTGTAGGGTCTGTAGGGTCTGTAGGGTCTGTAGGGTTTAGGGTTTAGGGTTTAGGGTTTAGGGTTTAGGGTTTAGGGTTTAGGGTTTAGGGTTTAGGGTTTAGGGTTTAGGGCTTAGGGCTTTAGGGTTTAGGGTTTAGGGTTGAAGGTTTTAGTTTAGGGTTCAGGGTGCAGGTTACATGGGTTGGGGTTTTAGGGTTTGGGGTTGCCAGCGTCACAGCTTTTTCAGAACTGGCTGGATGGAGTTTCTTCAAGTGGAGTGGCGATTATCGTTTATAGGGTTCTGAAGGGAGGGCGGTTCATGGACGGGGGGTAGGTACCTAGGGAACCTTAGGGAAGTGTAGGGAGCCTTAGGGAGTAGTGGGGAGGATAAGGGGACCTTGGATTACATACACCCCTTGAACCCCCCTCAAGAAGTCTAGAATTCGTTTTCAACCTTATGACTTACATCTCAGGGCTCGTCTTTCTTAAGGGACTAAAGGAGGGACCCTTATAAGGGAATTCAGGGGAAATTTGGGGGTTAATTAGGGGCTACGAAGTTATATCGGGACGATATAAGGTATATATATATATAGGGGCTACATGGGGGAATAAGATTAAGGGTCCCTTCTAGGGGTCCCTCCTTAACCTCTTCCAGCTTCCTTGGGGCAAACGGCCAAACGGCAGATGTGGCACAGGGACACTGGTTCGGGGGATGATGCCGGGGTGAAGTATGAGGTCTTAGCAGCTGAGTGAGTACACTTTACACTTTTTGGGATGCTATAATCTCTGCAAATACACTTTTTGGGGCTTATGAACTCAGCAACGAAGAGGTGCTTCTCAAGCCAGGATCTACTGTTCACGGAGTTACGCCGTGGCGCTTCCTCTCCGGAACGACAGCCTGATGGAGGTGGAGATTTCGAAGGCGCGCAGAATGAACACATGGTTTAGGGTTTAGGGTTTAGGGTTTAGAGTTTAGGGTTTAGGGTTTAGGGGTTTGGGGTTTGGGGTTTGGGGTCAGGGGTTAGGGTTTAGGGTTTAGGGTTTGGTGCTAGGCACCTCCTTGGCAACACGAGCCTTATCAAGTTCGTGGTTCAAGTACCCGAATGAACTGTACAGGGAATGTTACCCTAAGCCTTTAACCCTAAAGCCCTGTGTCAGGCTTCATTCGGCCCAAGGGGCCTTGCAAACCCTAAACCCTCAACCCGAAACCCTAAACCCTAAACCCCAAACCCCAAACCCCAAACCCTAAACCCTAAACCCTAAACCCTAAACCCAAAAAACCCTCAGCTTGACCCCCAAAGCTCGAACCAGGGTTTGGGTTTGGGGCTTAGGACGGCGCGCTCGTGTCCCTTGTCAACCCAGCCACACTATACTCGTTAGGTTCTACTAGGTTTTGTAGTTGATTTTCTGCAGGCGCCGATACCTGTGAAGCCGTTTTGGACTTAGTAAGGCTTTCTGACGCCTTTGCTCGAAGCTCTCAACCCCAAAGTCCTCAAGAAGCCGGAGCCTTAACTCCTACAATCCCAGTGAGGCCCCGGAAGCCAAATCCTAAATATCAAATCTTCATGCCCTACACCCTAAACCCTAAACCCTAAACCCTAAACCCTAAACCCTAAACCCTAAACCCTAAACCCTAAACCCTAAACCCTAAACCCTAAACCCTAAACCCTAAAACCTAAACCCTAAACCCTAAACCCTAAACCCTAAACCCTAAACCCTAAACCCTAAACCCTAAACCCTAAACCCTAAACCCTAAACCCTAACCCTAATCCCTAAACCCTAAACCCTAAACCCTAAGCCCTAGATTTTCCTCAACTTCGAACACCCCAAGACCCCCAAATGGTTTAGGGTTCAGGGTTTAAGGGGGGTGGCGGGGGTTCTGTGAGGCCTGAAGTTTCTGCGCTTTTTTTGTGCTGGGAAAGGCGGACCCTAAGTCCTAAGTCCTAGATCCTAAGTCCTGAGTCCTAGATGCTAAATCCTAAGGAACCCTTAAACCCTAGCTCTTGAAACTAAAAAGCCCTAAACCCGAAAACCTAAGCCCTAAACCCTGAACGGCGGGCTAAACTGCTCTTTGCTTAAGAGCCACCCCCAAAAAACCCAGAGACTCTGCCATATAAGGGCAGTAGGGGGATTGTGGTGATGTTGTGTTTTGGTGGGGAGTTCTGAAGCAAGTAGCAGAAGATCAGGGCCTTGCTAAGAAAAGCAAGCTCTCCCTCTCAAGGGGGCCGGAGGGGCCGAGTTTCAGCCGGGGTTTAGGGTTTAGGGTTTAGGGTTTAGGTCTCCAAAGGTTTTTCTGGCTTGAAACTTGAGAAATGGGTCCCCAGACCCTCACACACTCATCAACCCTAAGCCCCAAAAGCCTCAACCCTAGGCCCTAAACCCTAAACCCTAAACCCCAAACCCTAAACCCTAAACCCTAAACCCTAAACCCTAAACCCTAAACCCCCAACCCCCAAACTCCAAACCTCAGACCTCAGACCTCAAACCTCAAACCCCCAAACGCCGAAGCCCTGAGCCCTTCTAAGCCCCGAGAGCGTTTTTCAGGCCACAACGACCATCGCGTGTGGGTCCGCGGGTTGCGACGTGACGCACTCCCAGCCGTCGCTGGAGCTCTGTCGAGCAAGGGCCCTGCGTTTGAGCGTCGTGGTGCTGCTGTGTTTGGGGAAGTTGTGGGTTTAGGCTGATAGAGATACCGATACCCATATATATATATATATATATATATTTATATATATATGTATGTATGTATGTATATCTATATTTGGCATTTTTCGAGATTCTATACAACATATTATATACAATTGTTTCGGGTAGTTATTTATCAGAGGTTGTGATTGTGGCTTAGGGTGTATTACTTTTGGGGTTTAGGGCGCAGGGCAATTTAAGACTTTGGGCTGAGGATACGGGGCTTGTGGTCGTTTAGGGTTTAGGGGTTTAGGGGTTTAGGGGTTTAGGGGTTTAGGGTTTAGGGTTTAGGGTTTAGGGTTTAGGGTTTAGGGTTTGCCGACCCCAGTACATTTTTTCGAGCAGAGCTCGACGCGTCAGGACATGGGGGCAACAAGCCCAGGTTGATTCCAAAGTCCGAGTCGGCCTGGAAACCTACGGATCCCAAAGAAGTGCGCCTCCCTTAGCCCTACTTGCAGGCCGAAGCCCTAAAGCCCCAAGTAAGCCCTCTCAGCCCTAAGAGGCCTTGGAAGATTCCGGTTTGAAATTTGGGGGGCAGGGGTGAGAGGGAGGGGTTAGGGCGGCGGGGGGGGGGGGGGGGGGGGGGGGGGGGGGGGGGGGGGGGGGGAGGGGGGGGTGGGGAGACTTAACCCCGAGAAATGTCCAGCAACGCCCAAGAGGACGAATTCCTTGTGGACCAGATGAGCTTCAAAAAGTTTTCCTAAAACCTAAAGTATAGCTGGTAGCATACAGTTGACTATGCCAACTTGAGTGTTGATGTAGCTCAGGAAGCGGCGTATGGACTAGAAGCGGCTTCCCCCAAACCCCAAAGCCCCAAAGCCCCAACCCTAAACCCTAAACCCTAAACCCTTAACCCTAAATTCTAAATGCTTTAAATCATGGCAGGTCCGCTACCCTCGAGGCAGAGAAGTTTCAGGAGCGGCCCTTCACCCGTGGTGTAACAGACTGTTTAGGGTTTAGGGTTTCGGGTTTAGGGTCTAGGGTCTAGGGTTTAGGGTCTAGCGTCTAGGGTTTAGGTTTTAGGGTTTAGGATCTGGCGTCTAGGGTTTAGGGTTTAGGGTTTAGGGTTTAGGGTTTAGGGTTGAGGGCCAAAACGTTGCCAGGACGCCAGGGGGCTTCGATTTCTAACCTTTGAGGTCTGCTTCGGCACGAAGTAGACTCTCGAAAGGGCTTCTTTTTTCCACATCCACCCTGTCATACTCTGATCCCCCCTGTCGTGCGCCTTACTGGGGTCCTTCTTATAAGGTTTAGGGTTTAGGGTTTACGGTTTAGGGTTTAGGGTTTCCGAAATTGGGGGTACCTTCTTGGGGCCCTTACTATAAGAGGATCCTACAGTGCTATTCGGGTCTATTTAGGGGTCCGCTATTTTGGTAAACACCATATAAAGGCACACGCAAGCAAGCCTACCTGCATTTCACATACACGAAGCACCCGAAGCCCTAAACTGTCGTAAAGGGCCTACAAGGAGATTCATGGGTACTTATAAGTAGGGCTAGAAGTGCGGCAACTGTGGTTACAGCCTTATTTCGGGTGGCATCCCGCTTCTCAGTACCCCTGAACCCAAAATACCCTAAATAAACCCTAAACCCTAAACCCTAAACCTTAAACCTAAACCCTAAACCCTAAACCCTACACCTCTACTTATAAGCACCCATGAACCTTCAGTACCTTTCTGGTGTCCTGGAGGAATACTGGACAGATGCCCCGGTCCTCCGCATTCCGGGGCGCATGTTCCCAGTTGGGGGGCTCAGCCCGCCATTTCGTGTTTGGGGTCCTGGGGTTTTGGGGTTTAGGATTTAGGGTTTTAGGGTTTTCGCGTTTTAGGGCTTTGGGGGTGTAGGGTTGTAGGGTTTTAGGGCTTTAGGGTTTTAGGGTTTTAGGGTTTTTGCGTTTTTGGGTTTTTGGGTTTTTGGGTTTTTTGGGGTTTTGGGTTTTTGGGCAGTAAGGATTGGGGTTTCAGGGTTTACATACGTGGAGGATTTAGGGCTTAGCTTATTGTCATAGTTACGAGGGTCCATGTGTAGCATTATTGAACTTGACACCTCACAGGCCCTACTTCGGGTTTAGGGTTTAGGGTTTAGGGTTTCGGGTTTAGGGTCTGGGCACAGTACCCTAGCCATTCCACACACAGTTTTCACTGCGCCATGGACGCCTGGATGCGCAATCAACGGAAACTCCCCAAGCCCTAAACCCCTAAACCCTAAAACCCTAAACCCTAAACCCTAAACCCTAAACCCTAAAACCTAAACCCTAAACTCTAAACCCTAAACCCTAAACCCTAAACCCTAAACCCTAAACCCTAAACCCTAAACCCTAAACCCTAAACCCTAAACCCTAAACCCTAAACCCTAAACCCTAAACCCTAAAACCCTAACCCTAACCCTAAACCCTAAACCCTAAACTAAACCTAAACCCTAAACCCTAAAACCCTAAACCCTAACCCTGAACCCTAAACCCTCTTTCGAAGCTACTCTTGCACGGCTCCCTGGATGCCGCGGCCCCCCCCCCCCCCCAAATTTTATTGCCGCGTGACTTGTCATAAGCCAGGAAGTGCAAGGGCCCCAAACCCTAAACCCTAAACCCTAAACCCTGAACCCTAAACCCTAAACCCTAAACCCCAAACCCCAAACCCTAAACCCCAAACCTCCCATATTCTCCAAATCAGGGCCGAATTATATATCCCAAATAAGCCTTAAGAACCCCGAACAGTCCCCTTCCCTAAACCCTAAACTCTAACGCCCAAACCCCCCTTGCTGGGCCAGGTTGAAACTTTCTTCACCCTGAGGCCGGAGAAGGACTACCTCCAGGCCAGAGGGTTTAGGGTTCAGGGTGTAGGGTTCAGGGTTTAGGGTTTAGGCGGTTTAGGGTTTAGGGTGCGGGGTTCAGGGCTTAGGGTCCCCTTGCATTCCAACCTTGAATAGCTGAGAGCTGGAGGTCTCAGAGATCTTCGTGGAGCTTGCCTCTCAAAATCCAACGCTCCCAAGAAGGTCTTCACGACCTAGCCCTAGACCCTATAAACTCTAAACCCTAGCTCGTCATTGAGCTCGAGAAGCGGAGCTGACGCCCTCGACACAGGAGAGGGCTTTAGAACCGCTTGTCCGCTGGCTGCACACGGGGGGGTTGATCTAAGTCATCGGCCGCGTAGGTTATGGCTTTTGAGTCGGTTTCTATTTCTGTACAAAAAGCTAGAAGGAATCGAGCCCTAGCCTAAAGTAAATCCAGCCTCTTCTACGTAGATATAGATCAGCCCCACCCTCACCCCGCATTATGTGAATGCAGCGTTTGTGGCTGGAAGGTTTCCAAATGCCCTGAACCCGAAAGCCCAAGACCAGAAACCTTACACCCTAAAGCCGTAAGCCTGAAACCCTGAACCCTCAATATGCCCAGAACACCCGACCCTGAAGCCTAAACCCTAAACCCTAAGCCCTAAACCCTAAGCCCTAAACCCTGGACCCGCAACCCTAAGCGAGAAGCTTTACAGTGTCTGAGATCTGCTCACAGGCCGCAGTGGAGACGTGCTGCCTGATCAACGCCGACAGCCAAGTTAAGCCGGTTTAGGGTTTAGGGTTTAGGGTGTAGGGTTTAGAGTTTACCCCCGCCCCAAAAGCAAAAACAATGCTCCACAACACATGACAATTTCGAAAGTTAGGGTTGGGAGGGTCTTTGTGTTCAAGGGTTACTTTTCGGGGCTTCCCAAACTCCCATGAACAGTTTTCTGGCGTATACAAGCCCTATGCCCCCTATGCCAAAGGATCATTCTTGAGAATTATTTCGCTTTTGATGAATACTTAAACCCAATAATAAGGAAGAAACATGATCATTTTTAATAGTACCCCAGCAATGGTGCAGGTCAGAATATACCCCACTTGCACCGCGCGCCACACCAGTAACCAGTCTCTTCCTCCCGGAGTCTCCACCAAAACCCTAAACCCTAAAGCCGTTGACCCGAAAACCCTGAAACCCTAAATCCCGAAAACCCTGAACCCCTAAACCCGAAACCCTAGTGAAGGTAAACTGGGCGGCCTGAGCCGTTTAGGGTATAGGGATGGGGTTAGGGTTTACTTGAACCCTGCACCTTAAACCCTCCCCCCCTAGATTTCGATATTCGCGCTGCTCCCCAAGGGTTCCATGCGCGACCCACGGTTCCCAGACCCAAAACTTCCGCGCTGAAACAGATGCCCCTGAAGCCTGTCCTCCCCATCATAAGGGCCATTTAAGGTTGTTTAGGAGGGGAGCCTAAGGGGGGGGGGCAGGGGGTAATGTTGACTTCGCATTAATAAATCCCCCCCCCCCCCTTCATTGATCAATCTCTCCGGCCAGGGCCTCCTCAATAATATCCGCCTAAATCCTGGTAGGTCTAGCTGTCCCGGTGCCACCACAGTGGGCTAAGTGAGCCTCTACTGCGAGCTTCTGGGGGATCACTTTTAGAAGAATATTCCGGGCTGGATTTTATAATTGTGGCGGGCTACATTATTGTGTTCTGGCAGCTGGATTTTATAATTGCGGCGGGAATTCCTAATGTGAAGTCAACATTAGTAGGGGAACCCCTGACTGAAGCCTGTCCTCCCCAGGAAAATGAGGGCCCTGGCGACATTCTCTGCTTCCTCTGCGGAGAGGAGGAGATCGAGAAGGCCCCTGAGGGTTATCCCCCAAAACCCGAAACCCTGAACCCTAAACCCTAAACCCCAAACCCTAAACCCTAAACCCTAAACCCTAAACCCTAAACCCTAAACCCTAAACCCTAAACCCTAAACCCTAAACCCTAACCCTAAACGCGATAGCCTGAACCCTAAACCTTAAACCCTCAACCCTAAACCCCAGGGCTTGAAGCCATGAGTGGGATCCCACGCTGGAAGTGGTGAAGCCGTAAAGCTTATTCTCAGACAGCTTTGCCTGTTATTATTTTAGGGTTTAGGGTTTAGGGTTTTGGGGTTTAGGGTTTAGGGTTTAGGGTTCGACATGGTTCCTGGTGAACCATGACCTGCTGATGGACAACGGCAAAGAGAGAAATACAACCCAAAGCTGCTCGAAGACGGCACAGAGGCAATCGACCCCTAAGCCCTAAACCCTAAGCCCTAAACGCTAAACCCTAAACACTAAACCCTAAACCCTAAACCCTAAACCCTAAAGCCTAAAGCCTAAACTACCCTAAACCCTAAACTACCCTAAACCCTAAACCCTAAACCCTAAACCCTAAACCCTGAACCCTAAACCCTAAACCCTAAACCCTAAACCCTAAACCCTAAACCCTAAACCCTAAACCCTAAACCCTAAACCCTAAACTCTAACCCTAAACCCTAAACCGCATGGCTGGCTGGTCCGAGCTAACTGGGGCCCCTGTTGTAAGACCAAAGCCCTCAACCCTCAACTTAAGCTCTTAAGCCCTTAAACCCTAACACCCAAACCTTAAAACCCTCAACCCTAACCCCTAAGCCCTAAGCCTAAACTCTTAAGCCCTTGAACCCAAAATCCTAGAGTTCATCCTTCAGCTGTCCCACACATGTTTCGACCAGTGCCACATCTTCCCGCCAACCCTGCTTCCCCAGACACCTTGGAGGACGTAAAAAGTAGAACCACCAATTTGTGCGCTATACTACTTTTGGGTCAATTTCAGGAGCACTTAAGGGGATCTTCTTATCGGATCCTCCCAGAATTCTGGGTTAGCAGCCAGGCGTGCGCTGAGATCCAGTCTCGAGCAGAGGAGCGCGCCCTTCCCGAATCCCAGCGTTCAGAGTTTGGGGTTTAGGTGTCGGGTTTTGGCTCTAGGGCTTCGGGGTTTGCGGGTTGCGCAATCGTGCTTTCCGGGCAAAGTGCTTCGGGGGCTCGACGTCCGAAC